GCCAAAAAAATTTCTTTTTACGTGTAAATTTTTTTTTTTTTTTTTTTTTTTTTTATGTTTTTATTAAAAAACAATGCAGATCAATACAATTTTTTTCAGCACAAATTGTTGCAACAGATGTATAATTGCATTTAGAGCACAACAGGACAAAAGTAGGCATATAATAAGGTGAAAAAGAATAACAGCACCAAACAAGTGAGAGCAAATAAAAGAAAATACAGAGGTAAAGCTATTCTGATATAAAATTAAAACGTTTGAGCAGGTCAATGGTTTTGGTTCGTTTTTTGTTAGGGTGATTTAATTGTGACCGTGTTTGGAAGTAATTGTTGAGATCAGATTGTTTAAAAGTGGAAAAGGATGGTGATTTTTCTTTCAGAAATGTCATTTTATGGATGAAGAACGTGTCACAATGTTACAGTGACAATAAAATACTGTAAAGCTTCTTCTTCTTCTTCTTCTTCTTCTAAAGCTGTTTACCAACCGTCTTTAAACAACAGAAGAGGAGGAAGAAAAAGAATCTGATTGGACAGTAACAGTCCAATCACAGAGTAGAGTCAAATTGTCCAATCAGGTGGCATGTGGTTTCTATAAGTTAGTCTCCAGTAAACGTTCTGTAATTTTGGTTGTCGTGGAGAGTCAAGATGACTGCTATTCAGGTGGGTCGTATTAGAGAATTGTAGAAAACCACAGTCAACATTTCATAGTTTTGCTCCGTATGTAGGCAGCGCGTAGGTGCTTCGCTGTTAGCACAGTTGTCCAAATGTATGTTTTTTTTTTGTTTCAGGTGGGATACTTTATCTAGCGTTAGCCGAATGCTAATGTAGGACGTTAGCAAAACTCTGCTAGCAAGAAAAATTTTAATGGTAATGTTAGCCGTCCAATACTCTTGCTTTGGTTTTACATGCTTTATTAATGTAAATGCCCTTTAAATGTAATGTTAATCGTGCAGCTCAATAAAAAACGCCGGCGCCGGTTCGGACCTCACCGGGTCTTCATCAGCACAAATCGTTTGCACCTGTATGTTTCCGCCCTGATGAAGACCCGGTGAGGTCCAAATAGGTCGGCGTCTTTTTACTGAGATGTCCTGTTACAGGTAAGTGTGCTACATTCAAAATAGTTCTTAAACAATAGTGCAAAGGCATTAGCAGCGAAATGTACCTAAATTACCAAAAGTAAAAGTAGTTACTGTTAGTTTGTACAGGTTTCTATGATCAGAGTAATTGTTATAAGTAGGACAGACATTATAGGAGTAACTCACCCCATGTATCTTTCAATAGGCCACAGAACGCACGGACAAGAATATGGAACTCGCACAGCTTAAATAGTCTCAGCCGTGTTGTGAGCAGGACAGACAGTGTTCTGGGCCCCTGTCACTCCTACGTAGGGACATGAAGCTGATGAGGTGAGAAACATATTTTAAGTTGTGGTTCAAGTGAGTACTATACTAGTACTGATAGGTTCAGGTCAGACTAATTTCTCAGCTCTTTTTCCTGACAAACTAATTTCAAAAGTGTTTGGGCAACTTTGACATAAATTTGAATGAAAATACTCAGAGCTAACATGGAGCACAATGTAATTGCATACAACATTTCATTCTTTGTTCCAGTCTGACCCATTTTTTCCACTGACAAACTTCCTAGTTTGATATATGGTGTTTTAAGACAGCTGTAAAACTGCATTATTAGCGTCTTTAAGTGCTTTCACTCTGCATTTGCCCCTCCTTGAACCGCCACCTTATTGTGGTGGAGGGGTTTGAGTACCCGAGTGATCCTAGGAGCTATGTTGTCGGGGGCTATATGTCCCTGGATAAGCGGAAGAAAATGGATGGATGGATGGATGGATGGACGGACTCTGCATTTGTATCCACCACGTTTGTTTACATGGTCAGAATGAACTGTAGTGTAACAGTTTCACTTTATAACAAAGCTTTGTTGTTGTACCTTAAACCAAAAGTTCAGAGCCTGTATTGCTTTAGTAAAAACTTTGTTCTATCTGTAATGTTTATGGAAAACATTGTCGTGATTGACCATTGCTCTCAACTCTGTTGTCACAGGTCCTGATCTTCCAAATGGCCAGAAACCAGACATCCATGGCTCTGGAGTTCTTCCTTGGTGCTGCAAAGAAACATGACTTTACATCCAGGTACTCTGTGCAGTCTTGTTTTTAAATAATGTTTGTGCACTTAGCTATATCAGTGTTGAATTTTATAGCAGTAGGTTAAACAGTTCTCTTAATTAGGCTTTATAGTACTAACTCGGCTTTTCAGTCATTTAAAGCTGACAACTTTACTACAGTCAACCTTGTGGATTTCTATACTTAAACACTGCACATCTTTGCTGTTTTAATGGGTGCACAGCCTGCTTTAAGATGATCTGGGCACAACTGGGAAGACTTCTTGTCAACCCTCATGAGGACATTTGAGGTGAGTGGCTTTGTAAAGAAACTTGTGCTTCATTTCACAGTCAATAAAATGTTTGAATAGTTTTCATTTCAGAGGGACCATTTTTCCCAGATAAAGTGATTATCTTATGTGGCTCATGGTGGCGTGCAGTGAAGAACTGAATCAGGACCTTATATCTTTGACATTAAAGCAGAATGAGAAAGTTTGAGTTGTAATGCTTTATTGAAAAATAAACAAAACAGGGCCCAGGTCCAGGCTGAAAAGTAAAAAAAAAAAAAAGCACAATTTTTAGGCCCCATCTGTTTCACCATGTTCCGTTTTTTAAACGGTACTGGTTCAGGTCTTAGTTCTTCACTGTATCTAGTGAAGAACTAAGACCCGCCAGTGCCTGATATCTTTGATATTAAACACAGAACCAGAAAGCAATAGCTATTGAAGAAAATACAACAAAAACAGGGACTGGAAATTGCACTCTCAAAACCAGAGTACCCTTCTTTTTTTAAATGCTGCTAAAGTTTTGGCCTAAGATGGGAAATCCTTACTGGTGGGGTCATCAAGGCAGAGTACTTCACATTTTCCCCATGCTGTTTTACTGCATGTGTCTGGACCCCAGTTATGAAGACTAATCATGTGACCACAAGGGAAGAGTCTATAACATTAGAAGTTTTCATAGTATTACAACACAGTATCACAACACAGCAATACTGACAGAAGTACTTGAAATGTGGGCAGAAGTTGTGGTTGCAAAATCTACAGTGTTCTGTTGCAGGAGGTATAAAGACAGTGGCAGTAGCCTCCAGTGAACTTGTGTTAATTGATGTCCACATTCAGACTCGGCATAGCTTCAGAGGGAAGTTCTCTGTGATCAGGTGATCGTCATGAAGCACAACGACAATGTTGACTTCAAACTCTATAACACAGAAAAACAGTAGTTAATGCTCAAAATCACTTGTTTTTAGGTGGCTTATAAACATTTTGGGAAATGCATTCTGTTTCTGGTAGAGCTGAAGATGAATATGTTGAATATGGAGCAAGAGCAGCCAGTTAGCTTGTTACCATGAAGACTGGAAGAGGGGAACAAAAAAGCAGCACAGATCATTGATTAACCTGCCAATTATTTCAGTCTCAATATTCACAGAATATATTGACAGTTCTACCCTTCTGGCTAGAAACTAATTCTCACACGTGATTTGCTGATTTTCTTTTTCATATCTAATTGTAAACAGAATATTTTGGGGTTTGTTCAACATATCTTGGGCTGTGGAAGATTATAATAGACACCTGTCACGATTCTAACATTTTATAGAAAATGACAAAAACAAAACAAAAAAAACAGATGAATCAATGAGTCATGAGCTGCTGCCTTACAGCAGGCCCAGTATTGTGTGTGCACCACTACAGCTCTGGAAGGGATCACAAATGTACATTTATAATTCATAAAGGAATGAAAACCTTAATGTAAGAGCCCAGAAGACTTTACTGACCGACTTTGAAGTTGGTGGTCTCCAGTGTTGGGCAGGTGAACAGCCTGGGGAAGACCATGTAGATGGGAATAGAGAGGCCATGGCAGACATCACCTTCAGCTATCTGGATATTCTGGATCTCTGTGGCATCTCGGGCATAGCCTTCAGCACAACCTGAACACAGTGCATGGTGAGAAAACTAGAAGCTGCTGCTGCTACTACACGGAAGTTTAAACACGTCACCTCAGCATGAACTTACCACAAGTCTCTACTCGCACAAGCTGCAGTTCAATACTCTTGATGGGAACATCTGAGTTCTCCACCACCACCTCTCCTGTCAGCGGCTGGCTGATCACACAGCTGGTAGCATCTAAATGGCCTCTGATGAGAAACTTTGGCAGTAAACTCCTCTGAAAACAGACAGGAAGTTGGTCCTCTCATTACAGCTTTGTATAAAACATGAAGCAGCCAAAGGGGACTCAGACGTGATGTGGTTTTCTCACCTCCCGGGTGTTCTGCAAGGTACCAGGGGTGATGGTGAAGTTGACCGGAGTGGGGATAACTTTAGCTTTCTGTGGCTGCAAGTCAAACACAGTTCAACATGGCCGACAGCTTATAAAGAGCTTTCATCTGATGGCAGTTCATAGCATGTACCTCAAGAAAATGCAGTCACCCTCAGACAGAAAGTTAAGCGCAGATTTTAAACCGTCTTACTGACATGGTGGCAGTATGTTTCACTCACCTGACAGTGCACAATGAACTCACAGTTCCTGCTCAGGTCTTTGGCCAGCAGAGAGCGCTTCATGTCACAGCGGAGGGTGTACTGAGGAGAAAACCCAACCAGGAGGGTTTACACAGAAATACTGCATTTGAAATGCACTGTAGTAGACCTACACCAACCTTAACTTTAAATTAGATTTTGAACAGCCAAATGCAATTCAATTACATAAGAGAATCAGGAATTTGTTATTTTTGCCTTGAGTTTTTTTGGGGGGGAGATCTTTGTATAAGCTTTTAACTTCCACATAGCCAGCACCAGCACTTGTTTACTTTGAATTAATTTATATCTGAGTATATGACATGAAAGCACTCTGTTTGCATATATGTGTCTTTGTATTCCATGTTTTGTTTGTACAAACTTAAAATTGGCACCACACACACCTGGATGTTGACGAAGACACCGTGGTAGGTCTCGTACAGCACTTTGTTGCCTTTGGTGAGCAGAGGGAACTCAAAGGGGATCTCAGTCTTGCCTCCCGGGATCTTTCCTGCCTTGGCCACCTCGACATTACTGCTGATCAGTTGGATGGGCTGCAACATGACGGGAAGGTCAAGAAGTTATCGGTCTGATTACTATTAACAGCCCATTTATTACACTGTGTCAAGTCAAGTCCATTTTTCTTTGTAGAGCCCAATATCACAAATTTCTCTTGAGGGGCTTTGTAATCTGGACAGCATACGACATGTGTAGACACTCTGAATATCAATGTCATGTTGTAGAGATTTGTAGCCTTGACCATTAAAGCCATTGTGTCCTACACTCTGGTGGGGAAAAAAGCTTAAGTGTTAATCAGTGGCTGCACTCAAGCCATGGAAAAAGTGACATGTGCTACTAAAGGCCACAACAGACAATACAAAAAATATAGGAACACTTGGAGCACTGTGGAGGTTACCCAGATGAAAAATGCGGCTTTTTTTATAAATGGATGAAGAACCATAGACATTTGAGTTTTCCTAGCATGTGTGTGAATATCTGTTTTGTTGTCTTTTGTAGTAAAATCATTAAAACCAACTAAAAGTGTGTTCAGGTAACATTAACACATGAAGCATGACATTTTTGAAGTGGTAGTAGTAAATGCTGGAAAGTTTCATGATACATAGATTGGTAAATCATGCAGCAGGTTAATGGAAAATATACATTACCTTTAAAATGTTCTGTTATAATGTAACCTAGAGACTAACAGCCAACGTGATGATCTTAAAAAAGTAGCTGAGAGGTGCAGTAGTGGCAAAACATAACCCAGCATACATTTCCCAGACCAAACACTTACAGCTGATGTCAGATGTTTACATACATTTAGGTTGCAGTCATGAAAACAGTTTTTTTTAAACCACTCCACAGGTGTCATGTTAAACTCTCATTTTGGCAAGTCAGTTAGTACTTTATGCATGACACAAGTAATTTTTCCAGAAGTTGTTTACAGAGATTATTTCATTTATAATCCACTATATTACAGTTCTAGTGGGTCAGAAGTTTACATACACTCAGTTGACTGTGCCTTTAAACTGCTTGGAAACTTCCAGAAAATGATGCCATGGCTTTAGAAGCTTCTGATAGGCTAACTGACATCATTTTAGTCAGTAGGAGGTGAACCTGCGGATGTATTTTAAGCCTGCCTTCAAACTCTTTGTCTGACATCATGGGAAAATCAAAAGAAATCAGCCAAGACCTCAGAAATAAAGTCTGGTCTGATGAAACAAAAATTGAACTGTTTGGCCACAACGGCCATCGTTATGCCTGGAGGGAAAAGGGGGAGGCTTGCAAGCCAAGAAACGCCGTCCCACCCTGAAGCAGAGGGGTGGAAGCATCATGTGGTGGGGGTGCTTTGCTGCAGGAGGGACTGGGGCACTTCACAAAACAGATGGCATCACAAGGAAGGAAGATGATGTGGATATATTGAAGCAACATCTCGAGACATCAGCCAGGAAGTTAAAGCTTGATCCCAAATGGGTCTTCCAAATGGACAATGATCCCTGGCATACTTCCAAAACTGTGGCAAAATGACTCAAGTACAACAAAGTCAAGGTACTGGAGAAGTCATCACAAAGCCCTGACCTCAATCCAATAAAGGTTGTGGGCAGAACTGAAAAAACGTGTGCAAGTAAGGAGGCCTACAGACCTGACTCAGTTCCACCAGTCCTGTCAGGAAGAAGGAGCTAAAATTCCAGCAACTTATTGAAAGAAACTTGTGAAAGGCAGCCTGAAAGGTTTGACCCAAATTAACCAATTTGAAGGCTACCAAATACTAACCCAGTGTGTGTAAACTTCTGACCCACTGGGGAATGTAACGAAAGGAATAAAAGCTGAAATAAATCATTTTCTCTACTATTATTCTGACAGTTCACATTCTTAAAATAAAATAGTGATCCTAACTGACCTAAGACAGGGGATTCTTATAGGATTAAATGTCAGGAGTTGTGTAAAACTGAGTTTAAATACATTTGGCCAAGGTGTATGTAAACTTCTGACTTCAACTGTATGTTGCACCATCATTAGTAAGATGTCCATTTGGAGTTCAGACCATCAAACTGAATGTTAAAATTATCCAACTTACCTTAACAGAGTTGTAGAAAGCTTCAAAGACACCAACGCTCTTGGAGCTCAGCTGTAGGTTCACCAGTCCCTCCATGTTCAGAGAAATGCCATGGTGCTGCAGTGGCTCCTTACACACCAGCACGATCACACCGGCCACTGTTTCCTGCACACAAAAACACACTGCTGAAGTCCTGCCAGCTGTCCTAAGTGATCTGGAGACAACCAACGCTTACAGTCATGATTCAGGCAGCATCAGACTGATTAGTACAACTGAAGCATCCACCTACTGTGATCACATCCTAGGTTGCACCTCACTGCTGCAGCAAATCAGGCAGCACCTGCACCAGTGTTACGCTAAATTCTGTGACCTGATTAGGAATTTCAGCTGTATTGCCATTAAATACCAAATGAATCAGAGGGCAGAAGACCCTAGATAAATCATCTTGGGTTTTGGACAACCAGCCAAACAAAACAAGCCATTTGAAAATGTCAGTTTAACCTCAGATAAACACTGTTCACTCATTTCATACAGTATATACATCAAATGATTAATTGATTTTTATATAAAATACTACTAATTATTATATTATATAATTACAAGCCAATGGGCACTTTTTTACCCCAAGGATACATCACACAATGTGCTTAGGTGAGTAACACTTAAACATAACTTTAGTTTACTTCTGTGTTGCAGATTTTAGTAAAATGTTGAACACACTTTTCACATCAATAAGTTGACTGAAGTAAATAAAATACGGAAAACATTGACGTTTCCCTTCTATTCCCCCTTATCTATCTGCCACTTGTCAATCAGTTTTCCTGTGGCAGACCCAACAACAGCACCGTCTGACGGTCCTCGCTAATTAGCTGCTAGTCACGTGCTGGGCGGACGATAACCCCTGATAGCTAGCAAAATTAATTCGCTAGCTTCTCTTTAACATGCACTGTTTGACTGACAGTTACATGAACACAAAGACAGAAGCGTTGACATTGGCTAAACTGGCTACAGAAACAATTTGTTAGCCAACTGACTGTGGTCAACATAACGTTAAATTACTTACGCCCTCATGATAAATTTTGTTTGCTCTCTTCAGTCTTATATCCAAAGTGACGCTCATGTCTGCTCATTACACATCATACACGCATTAACGAACTGGTTCCAGGCTCTTTCTCATAACTACAATAGACAAACTAACGATAATTTAATACATCGGCTAGCATAGCTTGTGGTCGGCCAAAACATACGGATCAGCAGCACAACATGACTTCCGATCTGAACCTTTCACAATAAATAAATAAAAAAACACCTTCAGCTTGTGTACGACAGTTTCCGGCCAAAACCTTTCAAAGTAAAGCTTAATTTCCACAAATCTCAACAAATGTCAAAGCAAGCAAAGTAGCCTACATCATAAAAAACCACCAACAAAATTCCATTCAACTCCATTTTATTTGGTGCAGTTACAAGTAAAAAAAAATGTGTTTTATGGTAATATAGGTGATCCAACTCTTGAAAATGTGCACACAACTTAAAAATAATTCAGCTGGTCTTTGTTGTCCCCTCACATTAGACAACATGTGGTTCATAGAGTTAACAACCATTTAACTCACTGATCATCACGTATTTGTAGTCTGAATATAATAATGTTTTATGATGTATTTTCTAGCTAAACTAACATGTTGTAGCAGCCTGTTTGATGATCAAAATGTTACCCTTCTGTCTCTGAAAGTATGTTTTGGACTGAGAGATTGTTTTGACCAAACATCAGCTCAAGAGCTTCAGTGTTGCCACAACAAGAATCAACAGCTAATGACAACTGAGACGTTAACACTGTTGGCTGAACCTGTTTTACCCCAGTGGCTCTGTTCATTCATTTTTCCACACATTCTCTATAACCACTTATACTGTGGTAAACAATTTAAAGATCACAATGCAAATGTTAGAATGCATTCAAAACATGACTTTAATATATGAACAAAATTATCATCAGCAGAGTGCACTTAAAATGGTCAAGGTACTCTTTATGCAGAATGGCTCCATTCAGTGTTATGTTATTATATATGCATTAAGGTATATGTAGCATTTTACTGCAGTGGGTCAAGATGAAGCTAATCTGAGCTACATAATATGCTGTTTGAGCACTTAGAGGATGACTGTATGTTTTGTTTTAAAAATGTATAAAGTAGCTAGTAACTACAGTTGTGGAATAAAGTAGGGTAACAAGTATAATACTTGCCTCTGAAGTGAGTAAAAGTATAATGTTGCCTAAAATGGAATACCTCAGAATTGTAGTTAAAGTATTTGAGTTTGTTTCCACCATCCACCCTACATAAGGTAATTTCTGACTGGCATGCACACACAAAAAGAACACACTACTTTTATTTTTGATGAATAAAGAAACAGTAATGTACAAAAAAAAACATTATTTTATTAGCATCTACATTATGTGTGTTATCCAAAGCTAAATGTGTCTGACTCATTCATCTCGGCACAAAACTGCCTGTAATACCAGAACTTGTCAGTTTTACACTTCAGTTATTGGACAGATTAAACAAACAAGATACAACATGTTTTATTACTGCTTGACACAACCGGGGTAACTGTTTCCCCGTTTCTGGTCACTGTAGCTTCATATTTAATGGGAAATAAAAGAATGGTATCAAACATATCATCTAACACAGCAATAAAGCAAATAAGCAATTTTACCAAAATGTCGACTGAATCATTTGAAGGAAAGCAAATAAGCAATTTTACCAAAATGTTGACTGAATCCTTCAAATGCTGAACTACTAGTTTTTCAGTGTGAGGAAACACTGCATTTAAAAATATCTACATTATTCTGAAAAGGCCTAAAACATTTAGCATTTGGGGACAATGAAACCCTTCAATAAAACCCAGACTAATGAACTGTGTTTAGGGTGGACCTAACCAATAATCAAGTATGCATTAAAATTAAGGGTCATATATGGGACTAAGTGATTGGCTCAGTAAGGTATGTTAGCAAAAACACACTGGTTGAGTTCTAACATACTGTATCATCAGCCAGTTGCATCACCTATTCATTTTTATAGTCCTGCTCAGGTTTTTGTTTCTCTGTGTCGTTGCTTAGGAAGGCTGCGTCGTTTCTCACTTGTACCTTGTCAAAAAAGTTTAAATCTGCCACATAACGGCCACTTGTAGTGCTGAACAGCACTGGCTTGAACTCATAGCCCCAGATGATCTCCTGAGGAACATAGGAGGTGCGGCTCTGACATGTGGCTGCCGTCGACTCCATTGTGGCATTGAGGGTGACCAGCAGTTCAAACTGTCGCGTGTGAAGGTTTTCTGCATTCAGTCCTGCCAGCGGGCTGTGCTCATCCAGAACATGGTAGAAGGTGAGCGGGAGGATGAGGAAAGGGCATTCACTACTGGAGTCCATGTAGAAATCAACAGGGCTCTGATGGACCTGTGTCTTCTCACCCTCCTCTGTCACATGTGAGTGGAGGAGCTTTCCTGTTAGCTGGCACTGGATCAGAAGGCTCTTTCTCATGTTAGCAACTCTCACCATCAGACACAGCTTGCCTTGGTGCCAACAGATGACTGCCAGCTGGCTGAACTTGATGGTCTCTGCTCGCTTCTTGGGCCGAGCCAGCTTAGCTAGAAAAGCACCGGTGACAAAGATTTCAGCCAGGCCAGTGATGACAAGCTGAGCCACCAGCGTGAAGATAGTCAGAGGGCATTCCTCTGTGATATAACGAAAACCATATCCAATGGTGGTCTGAGATTCCAGAGAGAAAAGGAAGGCTCCAGTGAGTGTCTGTACATTCATCACACAGGGCGTATAGCTGGAATTCAAACCTGCCTCAAAGTCTCCATTACCCAAGCTAATGAAGTAAAAGATGACCCCAAAGGTGAACCAAGTCATGACAAATGTGGAGGCAAACAGAGTGAGTTTGTAGCGCCACTTCATGTCCACCACAGTGGTCCAGATGTCATGCAGGTAGAGTCTGACCATGCCTTCCACGTTGTCAATCCGCACATTGTTGTGGCCATCTTTGGAAACAATCCTCCGCTGGACCTCTGCCTTCCTGTTGGCCATGTTGCTGTGGTGCACTTAAAACTGATCTTTGGTTTTCTGAGGTTTGGTATTACCAAAGGAAGGACTGACAAAAGACCCAAAAAAAAAATATATGATTATTAACTTACCTGGAGCTACTTGTATATTAATATTCACATCAAACATCCCAATAATACTGTATCTATTCATGCAAATTACAAAACAAAAACCATATTTTCTCTTTGCCCTCTTGAGGTATGTCTCACCATGCAAATTATTGTGGTTTTGTATGTCCAATTTTTGAGAAAGCGGTCAACCTGGTGCTGTGAAGGTGGATGGAATTTAATATGCGCTGCTCAACTGGTCTTTACAGCAGCAATGTCATGGTTATTCTGGACAATCCGCAGACCACACCATAAGCAGTTCTCAGTTAAACTACTTTCTACCAACTGAATTGTTCCATAGGAAACTGTTCAGTGTGTTCTTTTGATGTATCAGGAACTCGGAGTCTGGAAAAATAAATCATAAAGTTTATAAAATGTATTTTTTCAGTGCTCACTCAGCATAAATGAAACTCCTTTTACTTCAGTTGCACTTGTGTCATATCAGAGACAGAATGGGACAAACCATCATATGTAGATAGATACCAGTAGATAAGTGAGAAAGATACAATGTGATGTTATCTATTGGGAGATGACGGTCTTGCTCAAGGAACCCTGAGGAGGAGGAGGAGGAGGCAAGAACTGCTCCCACACAGATTTATTCTGCAGGTCTGGGAAACAGCCCATTCACTCTATAGTCACGAGCCGTGAACTACACTACCAGTATTCTGTCTGCTTTAGCCAGTTCACTATAAATCAGCTGCAGTATACTTAAGGGACTAGTTAAGGCTTTTGGCAAATAAGCTTATTTGCATGTTGTTGACATAAATTTGGTATAATTAATCATTTATACAGTAAATTTTACATGAAAAGAATAAAATAAAAGTGGGGCATGAAGATATACAGACCCTTCGCTTCTCTGCCCACACAATTAGACCATTCTTTGTTCAGTGAAAAGAAAAATACACAAACAATTGTTTTCATCTCAAATGTAGCAGTGTGCAAATTTTCACAATATGGAAACACTTTAGTAAAATACTAGCAGCAAATTAATGTGAGTATATACCCAGCGATTCTCATAAGGGCAAAAAGGTTAAATAAATTTGATATGTTCCTTTAAAGTTGATCAACACTTATAGAAAGTATAGCACAGTATTCAAGACAAGAACATCAAATGATAATTTATAAAAGCCAAAAGTGACAGACTTGATGAATAAAACATTTCATAAACTTGAAAGCATGCGACATACTGCTATTGCAGATTGCTGTTGCTCCTCAAGGTTAATACAGTGACAAAGTTGAAAGTTAACTTCGTAGTAAACCATTGCATGAGCTGTGAATAATCATTGATTGTGTGATAAATCTGACATAAGTTTAATACTCACGTTTCGTTGTGTTGCCTTGCTGAACTGTATCAGTTGTTTGTGTCACTTGTTTCAGGTTCACACACAACCTGTGAGATGAAGCTACCAGGCAACATCGAGCTCAGTGTCTTCTTTCCCCTATTGTCCTGTGTTGTGAGCGCTGAACTTTGGCACAATGGTATTTATTGTAGAAAAGACATGAGTCACAAAGTGGAGCTGTAAACTCTGATCCTCATGTGGGTAGGCTTCTATTCCCCCACCTCCTCTACCTGTGCACAGGTGAGAACAGCAGCCCAGAACACTTATATTTTATTTTGCTCCATTTATTTTTGCTGTTACTTTAAACACACACCCAGATTTACTGGTTCCAGTGCCTAATAGTACTATGAAAGGCAGTATGAATTCTTGGGATACTCTTGGTATCAAAACAAATAAATGGTTATCTGACCAAACGCTGGTCAAACACTGTCTCTGAAACCTAGAAAAGGATTTTTTTTTTTTTTATGACAGTGAGCAATCTCATTGTGAGTGGATGTCGCTGAAGCTCTTTCTGCAACAGTAACCACTGAAAGAAGATGATGTGGTAGTACAAATGGAGGTACTGAAAGGAGCTGAAGTTTCCACTTAGGTTTAAGTGCTGTTGTTACTGTATTACTGTAAACTAAATAAATGCTGAGTGAAGCTGTGAAAATTAGTTGAAGTTCAAACAGTGAAGTTGTAATGTCGGTTTTACTAATAAAAGGAGCTAGAAGAGGCAACTGAAGTAAATCTAACCCTATGTATTCTTCAATTGTACAAATCATATCAATACAAAGCCAAAACTTTTAAAAAATACAGAAAAATACATAAGTTAAAGTATATGAAACATTTGGTAAATTATGAGAAAAATTAAAAAGTCTTGAGTAATTGACGTGTCAACTGAAGTGTAAGTGGGGATTCAGACTTGTGTCTAAAGAGCACAGGAGGCTGTCTTGGTGCAGGTGTGTTAAGGCACTGAAATTATTAAAGTACTGTTAAACTGGTTTTGTAACAAGTCAGGTTATTCTTTAATGACAGGCTGTTGTGATGGCTGTAGTGCCTCGGAGTCTGGGGTAAGCTTATTGTCAATGGCTTTTTACTGGGATCTGTTATTCTGAGAAGAGACTTGCAATGACCTTGTCCTCACTGCAGTTTGGTGTAATAGGGCTGTAGGGGAAGGAGATTTTATAATCTTTCCCATGTGTGGAGGGTGTTTTCTGGGTCCAGAATAAAGAAATTAATTTAAGTCAATGGAGACTTTAATTTCAACACTGAAATTTACAGAAAACCTAGACACAGACTTGCTCTTTGATTCTCACCAAGCACTAGTGCACAAACGGGGAGTTATCAGGACCCTACACCACTGAGCTCAGAAGGTGCCCACAAGGGCAGAGGTTAAGTACTTAACACTGGCCGTTTTGGAACATTTTGCTACTAATGGACCAAGATAGACGGAGGGAATAAATCAGATTTGGGCAACTTCAGATTATAATGAGAACACAGCTTTGTGGTGCAGTATACGGTTAATGTTTCTTTAAGTCCTAGCCACTAATTGTTCAGGTCTGTGACCTTGAATCACACTCCTTAGCTTTATTATTAACCTCATTATTATTCATCACATTCTTGGAGGCTTGGTGTGTGTTTTACTGAGATAACCAACAATTCCACTACAGCAGATGTCTATCTGGCAATGCTGTTACCAAGTTTAAGGAAATAATTCCGTCTTCATCTACTTCAGTGCCGTTTGCCAACATAGTGGAAGGAGGCCACCTTAACTTTACTCCCACACAAATCGATAATCTTGTTGATAGTACTGCAGCCTTCCTGCTTAATACACTTGATACCATTGCCCCTCTGAAAAAGAAGGTAGTGAAACAGAGGAGGCTAGCCCCGTGGTACAGCTCGCAGCTCCGCTCCCTAAAGCAGGCATCACGAAAAATGGAAAGGAGGTGGCGCTCCACTAAGTCAAAAGAGTTTTTCATAGCCTGGAAAGATAGTTTAATAACATATAAGAAAGCCCTTCATAGTGCCAGAACCGCATTTTATTCATCACTGATTGAGGAAAATAAGAACAACCCCAGGTTTCTTTTCAGCACTGTAGCCAGGCTGACAAAGAGCCACAGTGCTGTTGAGCTTAACATTCCCTTAGATCTCAGCAGCAATGACTTCATGAGCTTCTTTACAAATAAAATCACAACTATTAGAGAAAAAAATTGGTCGGACCACTCCCACAGCTCTCGCAGATGTGCCATCTACTACAATGGCTTTAGAAACATCTGTAAGACCTCATTTATACTTGGACTACTTCTCCCCTATAGATCCCTCTGAGTTGACCTCAACAATTGCTTCATCTAAATCATCAACATGGCTCCTGGACCCCATCCCGACCAGGCTGCTCAAAGACGTCTTTCCCCTAATCAACACATCCATACTAGATCTGATTAACCTCCCTCTATTAACAGGTTATGTTCCACAGGCTTTTAAACTTGCAGTAATTAAACCTCTACTCAAAAAGCCTACTCTTGACCCAGGTGTCCTAGCTAATTATAGACCAATATCCAATCTCCCATTTATTTCCAAAATCCTTGAAAAAGCTGTTGCAAAGCAGTTATGTGACCACTTGCACAAGAATGATTTGTTTGAGGATTTTCAGTCAGGATTTAGAGTCCATCATAGTACAGAAACCGCATTGGTGAAAGTCACCAATGATCTTCTCCTAGCCTCGGACAAAGGACTTGTCTCCATACTTGTCCTCTTAGATCTCAGTGCTGCTTTTGACACCATTGATCACAGCATCTTACTGCAGAGACTTGAACATGTTATTGGGATTAAAGGAACTGCGCTAAATTGGTTCAAATCTTATTTATCAGAAAGATTTCAATTTGTTCATGTTAATGACGAATGTTCCACACAAACTGAAGTTAGTCACGACGTTCCACAGGGCTCTGTGTTAGGTCCAATTCTCTTCACTTTATACATGCTCCCTTTAGGCAATATTATCAGGAAGCACAACATAAATTTCCATTGCTATGCAGATGATACTCAGTTATATTTATCTATGAAGCCAAATGAATCAGGTCAGCTGGTCAAACTTCAAGCATGTCTTAAAGACATAAAGGCCTGGATGACCTGCAACTTCTTACTTCTAAACTCTGACAAAACTGAAGTTATTGTGCTTGGGCCTGAAAACCTTAGAAATCTGCTGTCTAATCATATAGTTACTTTAATTGACATAGCTCTTTCCTCCAGTACTACTGTGAGGAACCTTGGAGTCATCTTTGATCAGAATATGTCCTTTAAATCACAAATAAACCAAGTCTCTAGATCTGCCTTCTTTCACCTGCGCAATATTGCAAAAATCAGGAGCATCCTGTCTCAAAGTGATGCTGAAAAACTGGTCCATGCATTTGTTACTTCCAGGCTGGACTACTGTAACTCTTTACTATCAGGATGTCCCAATAATTCCCTAAAAAGCCTCCAGTTAATCCAAAATGCTGCAGCCAGAGTACTGACAGGAACTAGCAAGAGAGATCATATCTCTCCCATATTAGCTTCTCTCCACTGGCTCCCTGTAAAATTCAGAATAGAATTTAAAATCCTTCTCCTAACATACAAAGCCCTTAATAACAAGGCTCCATTGTATCATAAAGACCTCGTAGAGCCTTATCATCCTAACAGAGCACTTCGCTCTCAGAGTGCAGGTTTACTTGTGGTTCCTAGAGTCCACAGAAGCAGAATGGGAGGCAGAGCCTTTAGCTATCAAGCTCCTCTCCTATGGAACCAACTCCCAGTCTCAGTTCGGGAGGCGGACACCCTCTCTACCTTTAAGATTAGACTTAAGACGTTCCTTTTTGATAAAGCTTATAGTTAGGGCTGGATCAGGTGACCCTGAGCCCTCCCTTAGTTATGCTGCTATAGGCCTAGGCTGCTGGGGGCCCCATGATGCTCTGAGTTTCTTTCCCCTCCCCTCCTACTCTCCTCTCCTCTCCTCTCCTCTCTCTCCCTATGCTTCTATATGCCACCATTACACATCACTAACTCTGTGTCTCCTCTCTCCCGTAGTGTGTCCTCTCTCCCTCTCCCTGTACCTTTCTGCAGGTTGCCCTGGCCCTGGAGCTCTATGTCTTTGAGGAGCAGTCACCAACCACATCGACCTGATCAGTGTTTGATTGCTGTGTCTGGTTGCTTTTCTTCTTTTGTCTCTCCTCTATCCACTCACCCCAACCGGTCGAGGCAGAAGGCCGCCCACCAAGAG